TTTTTTTTTTTTTTTTTTTTTTTTTTTTTTTTTTTTTTTTTTTTTTTTTTTTTTTTTTTTTTTTTTTTTTTTTTTTTTTTTTTTGTGTTAATATAAATAAGCCTTCATTCTGAAACTTCTTTCCAACACACCTTCTTTCTTCCAGTGACTTCCTTTTTCCCAACAACAAAAATTGGAAAGAAAAAGAAAAAGAAAGGTAACATGAATAACATAAACCAATCGATAAATACAGTGGCCGGCGGATCTTGTGAGAAGAGAACCAATGGTTTGGGTATGGAAGCTCCGAAATTCAAGTCTCTTCAGCCGCCTCCATTCCCCATGTCTCCTTCTTCTTACCTTTCCGCTTTCTCTTCTGGTTTAAGCCCCACTGAGCTTCTCAATTCCCCTCTCTTCTCCTTTGGTGTATGTTCTCCAATTCCCCATTTTACTTCTCTTAATCTCATATATTTTCCTCTAACTTTGATCTCTTTTTACAGCTTTTTCCTTCTCCTACTACTGGTTCCTTCAACTTGAGAAATGATTACGATGATGCCGACCACCACGAAATGAAGGCAGATGCCAAAAATTACTCCTATTCTTCGTTTAACCCTCAAACAAGATCCTCTGTTTCGTCTTATTTTCAGTCCTCTTCTTCCAACGTGACTCTACCGGTAAATGTTTGTTTATGAGGCTTTGCACCTTTCTCTCTTGTCGTTTTGCTACTATATTAAAAACCCTTGTCCTCACCTTGCACGACGACGCGACGATGATGATGTTCTTATTACACCAAACCTTTTTTTTAATATAATAAAAACAGGAATCCCACAGTTGTCAGTCGATTAGAAAAAAATGAAGGAGGGGGGAAATAAAATTAAATAAAATTATATTAGCATCTGTAACTAACAGTTTCTGTTTTTGTTTGGCAGAATCCAGGCGGTTTGTCGTGTGATGAAAGTGGAGCGAAATCTGAAGTCGTTGCCACAGATATGGCGGCAGCTCAATCAAACCCAGTTTCTCAGCTACCTGTTTATAACAGAGAACAGAAAAAATCGGAGAACGATGGATATAACTGGAGAAAATATGGGCAAAAACAAGTGAAAGGAAGCGAAAATCCACGAAGTTATTACAAGTGCACTTTTCCCAATTGCCCAACAAAGAAGAAAGTTGAAAGATCTTTAGATGGCCAAATCACTGAGATTGTTTACAAGGGAAGCCATAATCACGCCAAGCCCCAGCCCACAAGACGTTCCGGTAACTCCGCCGTTTACGACCCATCGGCGGCGGAATCCACCTTGCTGCTGGAGGATTCCTCCGTCTCAGTGGGGGACGATGAAGTCGAACCCAATTCGCCGTTTAGCAACTCGGTGGACGACAATGAAAATGAACCGGAATCTAAAAGATGGTGAGTGAATTCGATTGTTTTTTTTTTTTTCGTTGGGGAGTTGGAAAAATTTAGGTAATTTTGAGGTAAAATAACAAAAATTTGTTGCTGCAGGAAAGGGGAAAATGAAAATGAGGGATTTTCTGGGGGTGGAAGCAGAACAGTGAAAGAGCCAAGAATTGTGGTTCAAACAACGAGCGAAATTGACATACTGCCTGATGGCTATAGATGGAGGAAATACGGACAAAAAGTGGTCAAAGGAAATCCAAATCCGAGGTATGCCATTTAATCTTTTATCTTTAAGTAATAACTCTTTCTAATTACGCCTTTACTTACCGTTAATTTCATTCTTACAATTTAGTTAAACTTCTAAAGATATTTGAGAGGTCAGCCAACTAAAGATAATTAAGAGATGGAACCATAATTAGGGATTAAATTAAGAATTTTAAATTTAAACTTCAAAAATAATAAGAAGAAAGAACTGCAATAATTGTTAAAAAAAAAAAAAAGAAAGAATGATTGAAGTGGTGTGGACTTGTAATTTATTTAGTTCTTGTGCGTACAGGAGCTACTACAAGTGCACATCTTTAGGGTGCCCTGTAAGGAAACACATAGAGCGGGCGGCCAACGACACGAGGGCCGTGATCACTACCTACGAAGGCAAACACAACCACGAAGTCCCTGCAGCACGCGGCGGCGGTGGAAGCTTCTATAACGCGGTCAATCGACCTGTACCTGCCAGCATTCCAATGCCAGTGAGGCCATCCGCTGCCGTCAGCCATTCCTTCCCGACAAATTTTCCGGCCTCCTTCCTGGCTGGAAATATAAACATGTCAGAAATAGGAGCACGAGCAGCACCATCATCATTCCCGTTTCAGACATCACAAGGAGTGCCCCCAAGTTTTCAAGTTTCAGGATTTGGAACAGCCGCCAAGGAAGAGGCCGAAGACAACATGTTCTTCAACTCATTTCTATCTTAGATTATACAAAAACCAACAAGTTTTACAGCTCTCTCTCTTTTCCTTTTTTTTGTAGCTTTGTAAAATTAATAGAAACAAGAACAGAATACATTAACTGCCACAAATTTGTTGATTGTTTAGGTTAGAGATTAGAGGACATCTCGCTTGTTCTATCAATTATTACCCAGAATTTTACACATTACAATAATTATTAAGTTAAAATTCTATAGCTAAAGTAATTTATTATCATTTTGATGGGCTACCAAATTAGTGGCGGTACGGTTATCTCTTTTTGGCTCGTGTGTTTGAAGTTTGACAATTACCAATAGCTAAAGGAACAAAAGTAACAATCCAAATATTTTACCTCCTATTATGATGAGATTTTAATTTTTTTACAGCTCAATTTAGTAATTACATAGATATATATATCAAAAAATTTCAGATTTTCTTGATGGAGGTATAATTGATAACAATAAACCTGATGATGGAGGTAGGAAAAAAAAAATGTCCCCTGTGCAAAATATGCTAATATGAACATTGTTGGGCTAGTCCAAATATAAAGAGGCCCAATACAGATCAAACTCAAGCCCACAATATTCTGGGCCGGGTCCACACTGCGTCAACTAAACAGCCTATTACGTCTTTATTAAATTGAAACTATTTATCCAAATTTTATAGTATTTGAATATATAACCAGGTGTGATTTATAGAAACATTGAAGATAAGATATTTTTTTTTTTTCTTTTTAAAAATCATGTTAAAACTCACTAAACTATGATATTACTAAAATTAACATTTGTTTTATTATTTACACTATTATTATTAAAAATTACCATCCTATCATAAGAAAATCTAATCGTTACCTAGGAAGGTAGAATAATCTATATAAATGGCTCACTATCAGAATGAAGGACCAAAAATATCTACAAGAGCAATTTAATTGCTCTGGTATTCTAAAATATCATCCCACATGTAATGTATCATTTAATGAAAATGGATGGAAATTAAAAAAGATTGCAATGAATTGGGTTGTATTCAATGTCAAGTCTTTGTGGTCAACCCCACTACCATTACTTTTGTTGACCAACCAATGATATTATTTTTCCCTCTCATAAATGGCTCTCACAAAATAATGCAAATATTTCTCACTGATTTGAATAATTTGCTTAGTGCGACATAATTGAACGCATGTGCTGTGGTCTCGCCCAGCCACCGCCATCGATGCCCTTCTACTCAATTTAGTCAATTCTGAAAATATAATACTTTTTTAAAAAATATAATACATAAATCCATACCGATTCTATAATACAGTTTCAGAGTGATTTAGATTTCAGATTTCAGATTTAAAATTTGAAAATGATTATATATATATATATATGTTTATAAATATACTATTTTAGTTTATAGAACATACGTTAAATGCCAAATTTTAATTACGCCACCAAATACACTTTGATAAAAGTATTTTTTTAATAATTTTAATTTATAATAATTTATATAATATTGAAATTTATTATTAAATAATGTAGTAATTGTACCTAGCCATTATAAATTGTTATAATTTGCAAGTTTAAACAGTAAATTGTCATAAATATTCTTTATGGAATTGGCGGTAAAACAAACGACGGACCGCGCCCTAGTTGGAATTTGGGCCATGTATGAGTATACTGGGCCGGCCCATACTATTGATGACGCACCAATCACGGGCAGGGAGTGAATTAGAGCGTTGAATGCGGGTGGAGAAGTTATTTTGAGGCGGTCCTTTGACAAACTTTTGCTTTTTCATCAACAGCAACAACTGGGGTGGGGCGCGCAGTGGCAGGCAAGCGATTGGGCCCCAAAGCAAAATCCATCATGTCGCACCCAAATGCTTTAAAATCTCCCACTATTTTGTTGGTGCAATCCTCCTTTTGACTTTGGACGCTCATAATTCCCTTGAACGAATCATTTTTTTGGTTCTTACATTTTAATTTACTTACCTCACTGCTTCTTAATTACGCGTGTAGAATCAAGTGGTGGTGTGTGAGATCATTTAATTTTAGATTATTTTCTTTTGATGCTTTATTATAGTGTTTGGTAGTTGCTTTCCTTGATTGGGAATCATTATATTATTCCCTAATCTTCATCTAATCTCTCCGGTGGCCCCACCCTCGGGAGTAATTAAGAAAAAACGGCCACATTAGGCATGAGTTTCTTCCCGTTCCCCCCTCCGCGTGCCACAGGCTATACCGGTTCCCGGTGCCCCTTTGCCAGCCGTGTCTACTTCCACATACTTCACGCGGTCTGGCTTAGCTCAGTTTGAGACGTAAATCAATCGATGGCTTTGTGCACTGTCCTCCTTTGAGCTACGCAAGTTCTCACCTTTCTCCGAATGCTTCGTCGGAAACATCCTGCCATGATTTTTCACTTTAACCCTAATTTCTCTCTCTATTGTCGACCCTACGCATCTGGAAATGTTTTGATCGGAGCCAACCATACTTCTGCTCGCTTTTGTTCTCGATAATCTTCCTTCGCTTTCTTGTTTCCATCTGTATTTTTTTGGTTTTCTTCGACTGTGATCGTGCATTTGAAGCGTTGGTTCTCCGGCAAGTGTAAAGACCACGGGTTCCGCCATGCGAAGGTTTCTTTCTCTGAGGAATTTGGTTAGGGCACTCCTTATTCCTGTACTTTTCTTAGTTGCTCATTTTTCTTACGTTGTTATTACCACTGGCGAGTCTTGTGTCACTGGAAATTTCTGTTTCTCGCCCAAAATTTCCAAGTATCTAGCCTCCGGCTTACATCCCAGAGCAAAGGCGATAATCGATGGTGAAGCTCCCACAGCTGAAGAACTGTTGCGTCGTGATCTTTATACTAGTAAAGGTTGGATCAAGGCCGTTCAGTTTTATTCTTCAATCTTTCAGGATCTAATCTCCGTAGGGTTTCTTTCTCACAAATCGAAATCTCTGTGCGTGGAAACCCCCAACGGGCAGGATGTATTTTCCTTGAAACAGATTGGGGTCTCGGATTCGATTGGAATATTCAAGAAAGCCTCTAAGCCTCTGGTTATAAAGGGCGCAGGACACGAGACCCCGTTTGCTGATAATACCTTCGATTTTATTTTCTTGGGCGTCGGCCGCCTTGATCAGTCATCCCGGCCGGCAGATTTTTCCAAGGAAATTGCTCGGACGCTGAAACCCGAAGGGTTTGCTGTTGTCCAAATTAGGGCTAAAGATACGTACAGCTTTCATTCATTCATTGATTTGTTTAATTGCTGCAAAATAGTTACATCACAGGATATAGATGGCCCTGATTCTTCTATGCCTTTCCTTCGCCAGATTGTTCTGACGAAGGAGAGTGATGATATTCTTGGACAGGGTGAAGTGCTAACGCTTCGCCCAAAGTCTGATGGTAAATGTTCGGTCCCCGCATTTAAGGAAGAATTGGTACGAAAGGCCGAACCATTGATCTTAGAGGAGCCACTGAAGCCATGGATTACATTGAAGCGTAATATTCAAAAGGTAAGATATCTGCCATCAATGGCCGATATAAGCTTCAAGCAGAGGTACATTTACGTTGATGTTGGAGCAAGGAGTTATGGCTCTAGCATAGGAAGTTGGTTCAGGAAGCAGTATCCGAAACAGAACAAAACCTTCGAAGTTTATGCCATTGAAGCCGATAGAATTTTCCATGAACAGTACAGTTCAAAGAAGGGGGTCAAGTTGTTGCCCTACGCAGCTTGGGTGAGGAATGAAACTTTGACTTTCGAAATTAACAGAGACCCAGGTCAGAAGGTTCAAGATAAGGGAAGGGGAATGGGTAGGATTCGACCGGCGATAGCATCAACGATGACTTTCGACGGCGAAGTGGATGAGATTCAGGGCTTTGATTTTTCTGAGTGGTTGAAAAATAGTGTAAGTGAGAAGGATTTTGTAGTGATGAAGATGGATGTGGAAGGAACGGAATTCGAATTGATTCCGAGATTGTTCGAGACGGGTGCTCTTTGCTTGATAGATGAGATATTTCTGGAGTGTCATTACAATCGGTGGCAGAGATGTTGCCCAGGCGAGCGAAGCGCAAAATATGAGAAAACTTATGGGCAGTGCTTAGATTTGTTTACTTCCTTGAGGCGAAGTGGAGTTCTTGTTCACCAGTGGTGGTGAAACATTGTGTACATGGCCGTTTGTTTGCTTCATCCGCCACTCTCCCTCGCGCACTTCGTCGTGAACTGGTTGAAGTTTGGAGCTGTAATCGAAGGCAGGAACAACGGGTGGTGGTGATTGGTGGGCAATTCGACTTCATATATCAATCAACGTTAAGGAACCCCATAAATTACCCTTCTTCTTCATATTGAATGTACACTTCGGGCTAATGCGCCCTTCGTGTTTAAGCTGTTGTGCTATTTGTTACCCCCTAGATTTGTAGTAGGTTATAACCATCTCCCAATATTACCAATATTTACTTCACATTTTCGTGTCTCATGTTTACAATAAGCACTCTGAAATCCGAACTCCTCCAAGTCCTTTTAATTAAAGGGCACTGTAAAGTGCTCTCAACCCAGCTTGGTAACAAACTAGGCAGGCATCTCTAAGACTCTGGCACATACATACTCTTTGCCACGAACGTGTCCGACATGCATTTGGCTGCATATGTCTTGTTCTTTTGGGTGCATATTTCTGTCAATTGCATTGGAGCGTTATTTTTTAGGGTCTGGGGAGTAGGGACAGAAACAACTAGCTAGCCGTTGGTTGAAATCCACTTATCCCCACACAGAGTTGGAATCTAGAATCGGATAAAACAAAGCTCTTAAAGAACTCGATCTTTTCTCGTCATTTGTACATCCAATTTGGTTGATATGGACCAAATTTCATATTCACTGCCCGTTTCTTTTCATCTTAAAGAGGGAGTTGGATATAGAGATTTTAGCTTACTTCTCATATATTATTATACTGGACAGTTTGCCTCAACTAACTTAAATATTTTATCTGTGTTGTGAGAGAAATGGAAACGCAGCCGGGATGGAGGAGAAATCATAAAATGCTGGAGGCTTGTAGCTAAAATGGCATCCATGTCACTGTAAGGTCTGTATGCTTCTTACTTCATATGATAATTATTTGGAAGCTATGCTCTAATTCAGCCAATAAAATTCAATGTTATATCAGTTGTAGGTGCCCAAATATTGTGTTTAAAATAATTCATCTCAGTTTCTTTGTAGTGTTATCATTTGTTTTTGGGTTCTTCCATGTCTTTATAATATGCTGAATGGTGTTTCATTTTGATTGTACAAGCCCCAATCCCACTTACCCAAACAACCTCTGGGCCTTCTATTCTTAAGCCCATATTCATCACTACATCACACTTGGGGGTATTAAGAATTCTGAAGTGCTATCATAAATTCAAAATTTTAGAGGTCATCAAACACATTACACAAAAATACAAATTCAAATCCATTTCAGCCCTAAGCTTCATCTTCATTTCATGATAAACTTGTTTTACTTCATAAACTCAGCATAAAAACCTTTTTCTCCCCTTATTTAAAAAAAAATGTGTGAATGTATTAAAGCCTTATTTTAATGATGAAAAGATAAACTCAACCTAACAAAAATGACATATTTTAATGTACCCAATAATATTAATGGAATATAAATTTGAAAAAGAGGCCACACACTATTTTAATGTAATGTTTCAGTAGGCCCATCCATGTGTATTGATGATAAATTAACAAAACGTGATATGTGAAGGACTGTATTTTTATCATTGACGTGGTCAGCTTCATAATATCTTTTGCCTACTTTTTTCTTTAATTTCTTTGTGATAGTGGTAATCACTCTTGACTTTAGATTATTATTTAAACAATAAAGAAATAAAAGTAGTTAAATTTGGAGGAAGTGATACACGAGTTTTAAAATTAAAATCCAATGACATTAAGATAATAATGTTGCAAGAACATAAACTAAACATTTTATTTTAATATGGTATGCCCAATGTGAAATCAAGACTTCTACGCTGAAAATTGGGAGATTTTGGGGAATCTTAAGAAAAGAAAAAAGAAAACACTTAATTCTTGTATTTTCAACCCTTCAATTCTCTCTACAGATTGGTTTTTATCTTCTTTTTTTTTTCTTTTTAATTGTTGATTAGTTCTTATTCCCTTTTAAGATAAGATGAAAGCAAGCATTAACTAAAGTGAACCCTCCGAGAGAGAAAAAGAAATAATGAAAATGAAAATGTATAATAATTTTTGTACCTAGGATGGCAAAGTGCAGTTGTCATTATCATAATTCTCGTCGGTCGTTTGTCGTTTTTACAATTGGCCGTATGAATATTTAATATAATTATTTGAAAACCAAGATATTTAAAAATCCCGTTTGACTCAGTTTCCAATCTCGTTGACCGTAGGGATTAGGCAACGAAAAACTAGATCTAGGCTTCCTCTCTGTGTTCATTAAATTAATCTCACCCAGTTTTAGTTTTGATCTAAATATTAAATAAAAATTTATGGAGCATAGATTTTGAAGAAAATAAAATTAATTAAACAAAAATCCATGTGTTAGTTAGGGAGGTAATCCAATTGAATTCTAGGGCTACCAGATATCAAATCGAAGCTTGTTCGGATTGGCATAACAACAGAGCACTGTTTAAAAGCATTTTTCGGAATTTATAAAATAAGTAATTAATATATGATAGAAATGAAATTAATTTAGTCGAAGGATAGCTGGAGAGCATGCAGCGGTTTAGCTGTTCACAGGAGGAATCTTTATGCCTCATTTTATCGAAGCAAATGCTTGTAGCTTGCCTGTCGCTTATTTATTACCCTTTTTTCTTTTTTCCTAAACTTTGGGATTTTTTTTTGCTGTAATAGGTTAACAGGTCTAAGAAAGATAATGAAAGTTGGAAGGTTACAATTTCCAATTCTACTTGTAGAGTGTCCTTTTGGAAAGATAAGAAGGAAGGCTATCTAAAGTAGAAGATCAAATTTGTAAATTTTCAAGTATAGCAAGGTGAGAGCATGCGGGGCTGAGTTGAAGACAAGAACAAAGAAGTTATTTTGAGAAGCAAAAAAACAAAAAACATATATTCTGTAAGGAGCATTTAGTTTGGGGAGCAAGATGGAATTAGAAGACAAGGTGAAGGAAGCGAAAAGGCAGTTGGAAAGGAGGAAGGTGCCTTGAATGTGAAGACCCAAAACACACAACACGAACGCTCACCCACCAACTTCACAAGTTCCTCTTCCTATAAATCCCCCTTCTATTTCTCTCCCCCACTTCGTCCAAACTCTCTCTCTCTCTCTCTCTCTCTCTCTCTCTCTCTCTCAGCCATGACTGCCCAAGTTCTCCCTGAGCAAGCGCTTCAGACCAATATTCTCCTCTTGGGAAGAGACAACTCCCCTTCACTCCATAAAAGGTAAACTCTATACCCATTATTTTACCCTTAAAAAAAACACCTCTTTTAGTATATTGAACAGGACAAATTGTGAGTGCTTTGTATGGGTCTAAAAATTTAAAACAAAAACAAAAACAAAAAAAAAAACAAGGGGGCTTATTTTCTGTGAATGTTGTTGGTTTAGATTGGAGGGCAAAGTGGCCATTGTAACCGGCGGCGCAAAGGGAATCGGAGAAGCCACAGTCAGGCTCTTCGCCAAACACGGAGCCAAAGTAGTAATCGCCGATGTGGAGGATCTCCTCGGCCAGGCTTTGGCCGACACGCTTTCTCCATCCCCAGTGTCCTTCGTCCACTGTGACGTCAGCTCCGAAGAAGACGTCGAGAATCTCATCAGCTCCACGGTGTGTCGTCACGGCCAAGTCGACATAATATTCAACAACGCCGGAGTTTTGGGGAACCAATCAAAGACCCACAAGAGCATCGTTGACTTTGACCCCAACGAGTTCGAGCGCGTTATGCGTGTGAACGTCAAAGGCGTTGCCTTGGGGATTAAGCACGCGGCGCGCGTGATGATTCCGAGAGCCACCGGATGCATAATCTCGACTGCCAGCGTGGCAGGCGTATTGGGCGGCCTCGGCCCACATGCTTACACTGCGTCTAAGCATGCCATTGTCGGACTCACCAAGAACACCGCCTGCGAGCTCGGGCGCTACGGCATACGTGTCAACTGCATTTCGCCGTTCGGGGTTGCCACGTCGATGCTGGTGAACGCGTGGCGGGCTGATGGGGACGAAGAAGACGAATGCATGAACTTGGGGATTCCGTCGGTAGCTGAGGTGGACAAAATGGAGGAGTTCGTTAGGGGTTTGTCCAATCTGAAGGGCCCCACATTGAGGCCGAAGGATATAGCGGAGGCCGCGCTTTATCTCGCAAGTGATGAATCCAAGTACATCAGTGGCCATAATCTCGTCGTTGACGGTGGAATTACCACTTCAAGAAATTGTATTGGCTTGTAATCTTTTCTTCTTCTTTTTCTTTTATCATCATTATTATTATTATTTTTTTGCGGGTATTGGTGGAAAAAAAAAGATGGACACCGATATGCCTGTTGGTTGTAGTAGGACTAGGATTAATTTAATTTTTATTTTTATTTTTTCAGTTGGGGTTGGCTGTTCTATAATTACTTGGAAGTACGAGGGGTGGATATGCAAATGTTAGTTAATTTTATTAATTTTTTAAAATAAAACAAATGAAGAAAAAAAGTCAGTTCAGAAACAATTTAATTTTAAAAGAAAAAGTGTGTGATTGTGGGGATAAACAGCTACGAAGTATGGTAGGGCGGGCGGTAGAGTTTATATATAAATCATTTTCACAAATTGTATAATTGTATGGGACGGCATTAAATGGAAAAGGTGGGCAGAGTTTTGTTGGAGGTTTGGTTCTTTAATATTTATGACATCGTCAACCAAATCAAACCATATATATATATAAGAAAAGGAAAAAAAAAAAAAAAAAATGATTGGAGATCCTTGTCGATTAATTGTCTTAGTTTAAGGCTGATCATATCTTAAATTTCATAAAAGATATTATTTTTATTCCTGTCCTTGGAATATATAATATCAAACCCCGGAAATAATATTGATTAACAAACAAATTAATGATTTAAAGTAGAAAATTAGTACATAATATGAGTTAATTCTGTAAGAATTTATAAGATCGCATATAAAAAGTAAATAGTTACTATACCTTGGGACATCGAGAAGGAGCTGTTCTGTTTGTTTTCCTGTCTTTGGAAGAATATATATATTTATAAAAGTAATAGTAGGACATTAACATGAATTATTGGCGTGACACATTCACAAGAAAGTTAAAAACAAACTCAAAATTAAAGTATGACTTGGAATACAAGGAAAACAAATTTAGTTGAGAATGTGTTCAAATTAAGAGTACGAATTTTCACCCACACTTCGAAAGGCAAGTCCATTTATGTGAAAGTGGGGCATCTGTCACAATTTTTATTTATTATTTATTTATCTGAAAAGAAGGGGTCATAATTGTCATTCAAAGGATTAGGTGGTCTACCAAAGAAAACAATGCCTTTATTTATTGTTCATTTTCCTATTACATTGTTCAATGTAATTTCTAAATCATGTATATCTGTTTTGCAAACCATAAACATTAATAATTACAGGATCAATTAAGTGTGAACTATATATGATCTCATATAACTAACTTAACAAACCACTCTTCTAATGGGTGCTTTTTGATTAAAAAAAAGGAAAACAAGAAGAAAGGTTTTCAATAGCAACCTCTTGGGTAAGCAATTTACAAAGACATTTTTAGAAAGTTAATATACGATCTAGAAATTACTATTATTTTAGAACACACAAACAAAAAAGAAAAAAAAAAATGGAAGGAATGGCTGACACCGCATTCATGTTTACATTCATGAACAGTCGGCCACAACGAGGTGGGCATATTTCGAATTAATTTTAAAGACCTAATCAGCAATTTATCCATCCCAATGGGGCATAATGAAATAATTGGAAACAAATGGGGGAAAAGAGCAAAGGTGAAGGAGAAGGCAGATGCAACTGGAGAAGACAGCCCTCTGGGAATTGGAGGGGCGCTTCCCTCGGGAGAAAGGTAATAAGCGACCGCTCCATAAAGAGAACAAATGGGGCTCAGAGGCTGTCATGTTGGGGGGTTTATAAAAATAAGAAAGAAAGAAAGAAAGAAGCAGAGAAGGTAGCTACGATTGGGCAGTGAGGGAGGCAGGGTCACAGACGCGGGTGAGAGAAAGAGAGAGCTGGACCATAAATAATAATAAATAATAATAATCCTTTACCTTTACTGACTTTAGTTACCCTCAAACCCAGGCTGGAGCATCGTGCAGGGGATGCTTCCTTCTCTCTTATCTTTCCTTGCGTTGTTGGGGCATTTTTATTTGGAGTGGACAAACAAAAAGAAACAGAGTACAGAAAGCTGAGAAAAGAAAGAATATGCCAATTTTGGTGTGGAAGAGAGGGTACGGAACATGCCCTTTTCAGAAGAAAACATGGGAGGAGAGAGCATTTAATATGCAATTAAACAACTGTGATAGAAAAGACACAGAAGTGAGCCAACTTATTATAGGCAGTGTGCAGTGGTGAGAATCCACGTGGTGACTTTGTTCTTTCTTTTTTCATTCCGATAACACAACCTGTTTTCTTTGAGCAAAGGATCTGCAAGTTGTCAACCCCAACTTCTTCTTGCTTCTCGTTCTTCCTAGACTTCTGCTTTTTTTTTTTTTTAGGAATAAACTTCCCATCCCTCTCCACACCTTTTCAACTTCGACCCATTCAAAACTCAAATCTTTCCACTTCCTTTCACTCTCATCTCAACTTGCTTTTCAAGATGCTTTCCCTCAGCCTTTTTGGTTTTGGTTTTGGTTTTGACGCACAATACAACTATTCTCCCACCAAACCCAGATTCAATCTCCATTATGTCCCTCCAAATCTCGACTTATCTTCCAATTACATAAAGTGGGAGGGGAGTTGGAGGCAGATTAGCTTATTAAATTAAACAGAAGAGATCAAATCCTAGCTGCCCCCAGCAACTTCGGAGAAGGTTGGCCTGAAATTAGCTTAGAATATTATCCTATGGAATAGAGTATTCTTTGGCAACTTGCTCGCAACCCAACAATGATGGATGTGAGTTGTGACAGCGTGGCAACGAGGAGGGAGGATCTCAGGAGGTTAGGTTAGAGAAGTCATTTACATAACATATGTCAAATCGAAAATCACGAGACTGTGGTATTGTATTTTAGTGGGCAGCAAATGGGAGGAAAAGTCTGTGAGATTTTTCACGCGAATGGGCATGGGCACCACAACAAGCCAACTCTCTCACTTTCTTTTCTTTTCCTTCTATGTTACGTAAACACGAGAACTTGAATCCAGGCTTAATCCCCTACGCCAAGAAGCCCATGGAGAAAACTGTAGAGAAAAGGCTGGAACACACTCGTGGACGGCCTTGCAACACACTTGGATCAAATGCACTCTTGACACTAACTCAAATGCACTCTGACCCATCGACTAAGACTAACTAATGCACAAGATTGTTCTAAATGAGTGGTGAATAAGTAACAGGATTGGCAAAGATGAGTTATTGGAAGAAAGCGATGAAAAGAAAGCAAGCATGAAGCTACACTCTTGAGAGCAATTATAGCTGCGACATATTTAGCCTCAGTACTTCATAATGCTACTATAGCTTATAGCTTGCTGCTCGCTGCAACTAAAACAAATGCTGAACTAATATTGAAATAGTAGAGCTTGGGATGGAAAGTCTATCATTGATATAAACTTCTAGGATATTTGCATTCCGGAAAAGGGAACTGCACATCCGTTCAAAAGCCCTATCCGGAACCAAATTAGAAGAAATTCGAAGATTGATTGGCCTTGTTGACTGGAACTGCAGCAAGGGGAAGTCTTTGGTGTTGCAATTGATCCCCATCAGTAAAGAAAAGTTAGGAGGCTTTAGTTTGAGCAAGATTAGAAGTTAGTTGGCCTCTTTGACTATAAAATTGGATGCAATTTTTCTCTATTTCTCTCTTTCTCTAGTTCACTTTCTTCCAAAAAATTCATCTCTGTGGATCCTGTTCCTTTATGTGAATCTTGCTATTAGTAGATGGTAATCCTCTTCTGAAGGAATTTGAAACAGGTTTGAGATCGCATCATTAGCAGATAATTAAGTGGTATTCCTGTTCCTGAATATCAGATTCGGCTGTTTTAGATCTAATCATCCAATTATAGCCACTAATCTCCATGGGTCCTTTTCTGGATGATTGTTTGAAGGATGGCTCATTCCAGAATTGTTTACACTGCCCTCGAAATGTCCCTTGTTCTAGAAATGGCCAAAGTAAAGAAACTTGCTGGATTTCAGAGTACACAATCGAGTTCTAGCACGAAACAAAAAAGAAAGGTCCAATACCTCAAAGCCATTTTACACCAAACCTTATGCATAGAAAGTGTTGCACATAGTGTAAAGATCACTTACAAAAGACTAATGTTAGAGGAACCATTTGAACATAGACCGAAAGTCAGTCATGACAAAGCTTGTTTTTAGAGATGGAGAAGAGGATTGAACTCTGAATCCATTGGATGTGGTCTGTCTGGAGGCCTTTTTCCTTTTCATTTTCAAAATTGAACTTTAAAGGTACTTCCACATTTCAGAAGAATTTTCTTAATATCAGAATACTAATCTAGAGAATATTCACCAGTTTATGGAGGAAACTGGAATGGAAACGTACCAAAAAGAAAAATCTGGATCAAATTTTCAATTCAGCCACTCACGCTTGACTAATTTTAAAAGCTAAAAATTGGGAAGTTTTCAAGAAACCTTTTCCTTAATCTGGTCTGGTTAATACCTCAAAAGCGTTATAATTATTGAGAAAAAAAAAAAAAACAAAGAAATTATTACTGGATAAACTTTCTTAGAGAAAAATAGTTATCAAATAAGTAATTTATAATGGTAGTGGATGGCAAAATTAGTTTACATATTTACAAATAATCTATAATTATGACAATACCAGTCCATCATTGATTGACCATTTTTGTAGTTTATAAGTGATAGCTCTACCCATCATAGACCATTTGTTGTCTTTATCTCTAATAGATATCTATCACTTATACACTACAATTATTTTGATATCTATCACTAACCATGGTTGAAAGATATTATGAGCCTCCTATCTAACAACTTTATTGAATAACAAGACTTTAAGATCTAAATTCTTCAAAAACTCCAAAAACGATAAAAAAGTCAACCCAAAAGAAAGTTTTGAAATAGATTACCTTGATAATCAAGATCAAAAGTAAAAGTAAAGAAAACCCATAAATTGAATCACTTCACAAAATAGCTTGATAAAAACTACTTAAATGATTCTACCTTGTCGATCTAAACCCAAGAAATAAAAAAGAATAGGCTCAGGGCTTAAGAAGCATAATAGCTTTGAAAATAAACCTTAGAGAACTTATGGTCAATTGAAAGATTGTAACTATCATACTCATCAATACAATAATGACCACTAACAAATTATAACTTAGAAAAATACAATGAAGCTTCCCTAAATTCAAATATATGTGGTACAATTTTGTCATCAACCATGAATGTTTGTGGATGATAAGACACCTTATTTCGTATCAATAGATCATTGATATGTCGATAGCTTTTTAATGGCTATCATTGATAAAATATTTATAAAATATTTCCATGTTTTTCATTGATAGACCATTATTCTACACCCATCGATTCTATTGTTGATACAATAGAATTAGTAATTTATTGTTATTTGTTATGAAAGTTTTTGTTACTAAATTAAATTATCAGTAATTTTGCTGTTTTAATCTATTGATATAGTATATTAATAATAAATCACAAATAATCCCTAACGTAAAGAAAAAATAGATCAAATATCATTGATATATCTTTTTAAATCACAATCGATTAATATATCAATAATATAATTAATAGCAAATAAACATGTTAACTATCACATACTAAATTATATTATAGCAATAAGCATGTTAACATGATAAAATGAAATTTAATGTGACATGTATCATTTTTTTTTTTCATGTTAGGAAGGTATACAAGTAATAGATCTAATACGATAAATAATCATACAAACAATAATTTGTAAAAAAACTAAGTGAATTATTACTTAGGTACATTTGTTTATTCTATTGGTTATTGACAATATACTTAATAGTCCCGGGACATGCAAATAATTATTGACAAATCACAAATCCGATGTTACTAATATATATACACATACATACATATTCATATATATATATATATATATATATGGATTTATTGATGCGATATATCAATGTAACTCCAATTGTATAACATAACAAAAAAGTGTAGGGGGAAAAAACAATCAGCCTATAGAGTTCAAAGCTACAAATTAAACAAATAATTTACTAAGCCTAGGCTAAACAACTCTAAATCCTGAGCACAAATTATTTAATTTCACGTACTAATTACTTCCTCAATCAAACCATTCTAAACTTAAGTAACTTACTACCCAAACTCCCACTCAATGCGTGTGTGATATTCGAAGCCACAGGCGTTTCTTGCAGAATCGTCATCCTCCATTAAAGGCAAAAGGTCAATAGAGTACGACCTAGCTGTTGGCCCCATTTCTCAGATACACTTTGAAGTTTGAAGACACAGTAACTCTCAACTTTAAAAGTCAGATTTGATGTGTCCCATTTGGTACCAACGTGTCGCTTTACATGTTACTGTGTCTGACCTCTTTTAAGTTTCAAGTCTTAAAACCAACACCCCATTCCTCCCTTCTCTCCCTCTCAAAAACTCGTACGTCGTCTTTATCCTTCAAACTCCGTATCTTTTCTGGTTCACTCATGGTCATGGCCATGCCGAAATGAGTTTCTATTCAAACCGCTCTTTTGAACCCACGCTGTCACAGAAGACAGATTTTCTCCGGAAGCCTTTGAAAAGAAGGTCTCACACAAGAAAGATTCCAAGGGAATCTGTAGTCAAGATGGCGGAAGCTAGAAGACAGATAGCTCAAGCTTTGCAACTTCACAGATCGTCGTTGGCCTCTTCGTTTTCGACGACGATGTCTATGGCTGAACCCATTGGCTGCCATGGCTGTGAGTTCGAGAAAAAGCTCATGTTTTCAGGTTCGCAGCATTTTTGCTATTCGATATTGGAGTCTATGCCAGTTCCTCAACCGACATGGTCGACCACTGCACCTTCTGTGCTGCGTTCTCCAGAGGCCCCGATGGAAGAGCAGGAAATTTTTGAGTGGGGAGATGGGCAAGCTTCTTACGCTTGGTGGCTTGGATTTTTGAAGGCTTTGGATGTTGATAGCAGCGACGACACAGAGTATCCAAATGCAGGGAATGGAAATGCGGTGGGGATGAGTTCGATGGTGTTGACTCAGTGTCAGGATGGCTTGGAAAGTGGAGAAGCACTGTTTCTTGAAGCGAGTGACAACACCTCGTTTACAGATGAATGGTTGATAATTCCTATTGGTGAAGATGGGGGATTCATTGACAACAACTGCCTTGGGAATGATTTGGCATCTAACTAAGTTCTATGTGGTTTTGCTTAGTTTTCTGTTACATTGTTGGGGTTGTATGGTTTACCATTTTGCCTGGAATTTCCCTCCCAACGGTACGATTACTTGTTTATGGATCCATCTGAACCCCTTTTGTTCATTCTATCAAGTCATGACGGTGGATGATAAAGGGTGCATGGTGATCGGGTCAAGTTTGGTGGGTTGACCGTGGACTTAGTAGCAACTTAACCGTTACTCTATTCTATGAAGTTAGTATTTTAAGAATTTATGTTGCCCATAACAATATAAGTTAGCTCTAAACGTTCGGGAAGAAAAGTAGTCTGGGGTATAGTCTACGTACCAAAAACACTTATACTTCAAACTATGCGTTTTCGACAGATTAAGAGGGGAAAAAACAAAAGAATTTGAGCTGGAATGAACAATAATCTCATATTGACCTGGAATGAACAACCAAAGAATTTGGTTTCAATTTAAATGCGTTAGATATTGTCTTATTTAAATTCAAATAGAATGACATGAAGGAACAACATTGTCCAACATTAGCTAATTTTGGGAATGAGACCTTTTCAACTTATATAATACTATCTCCATTAGAATAATCCATATAGGACATTTTGGAAAATCCCCAAAAGCAAAACCAATCATGGGAGGTTAGGCTCAAATGGACAAATATCATATCAATGGACAATATCATATCAACTTATATAATACTATCTCCATTAGAATAATCCATATAGGACATTTTGGAAAATCCCCAAAAGCAAAACCAATCATGGGAGGTTAGGCTCAAATGGACAAATATCATATCAATGGACAATATCATATCAACTTATATAATACTATCTCCATTAGAATAATCCATATAGGACATTTTGGAAAATCCCCAAAAGCAAAACCAATCATGGGAGGTTAGGCTCAAATGGACAAATATCATATCAATGGACAATATCATATCAACTTATATAATACTATCTCCATTAGAATAATCCATATAGGACATTTTGGAAAATCCCCAAAAGCAAAACCAATCATGGGAGGTTAGGCTCAAATGGACAAATATCATATCAATGGACAATATCATATCAATGTGGAGAGAGTCATGGTCATAGTTGACATTTTTTATTGATCCTAGGATGATGATATGGGGAGTCGATGTCAAGACTCCGGTGAATGAGCGTTTTTGGGCCTACATCCATGGGGCACAACTTTTTGCGATAGTTTTGGACTTTGTCCGAATAAAATAATTGTGCCAATGAACCCAACACCATATGAAGTCACATTAGAGCATTACCCTGGATGAAAATTAGATTTTTGGCTGTTGTAGTTCTAATTTTTTGTAGATCCATGTAGCAGCAGACTAGACTAGCTAACCATCATAAGAGTCCCAACGCCATTAAATATTGAAGTATTTTGATATATACCTGAACATATCCAGACCAATCATAATATCAGAACAGAAGACGTCATCATTTAGAATGTTTTGCAAGTTGAGGAAAAGGGTCCAATGACAACCTTAGGGAGGACAGTAAATTCAAGAAATATTGGGTCATTCAAGAACAGACGAGATGAAATATAAAGTAGGCTTCCTAGTGCATGCCACCAGACAGCTCAAACAGACTAAGATACGAGGCTGAATACATAGAGTCACCTCATCTGATTCTGAGAATCCTTTGTTGCAACTTAAGGGCCAGAAGTGCAGATGGAAGTTTTGTGGCTATCCTGGCTCCACTTCCAGAATTCCAACAGAATGGCCCTACCCTTTATTACAATTTTAGAATTGGAAATGTTTAGTCTCTGTGGCATGTCTTGTTTTTCTGTTTTCTTTCCAAAGGTGTGGTATTTCATATGCTTCTTACATTTATTCATCCATATGTTTGCAGTCCTTTTTTCTCAACTAAATATGAAAAGATTGAATAAAGGACGAAAAGCATGCGCTGGAAAGAAGTTTATTGAATCAAAGCACGTAAATATCACGAGTAAATGACCATACTTTATGGTGACCTCTCCAATGCTAAATCAAGCAATCTGCGAAAGAACTGATGGGGGTATACAGGTGGTGTCTCCGCTAGTGCCTGTGCGTGCATAAACGACACATGATTATTTAGCATTCAGAAGTTGGATGGAAAACACTATATGTTAGCATGCATCATGATTGCGCTAAATTCAGCACGTATGATGTGGGGTAAACTCTTGCAAGTTCGACATTTCAAGAATTCTTTCCAAGTTTTTTTTCTACAGCATAAACTAATGCATGCGGAAGCTAATAATAAAAAAAGTAGTAATTTGAATTTAGTTACTACCGAGGAGGAGGTGGAAGCAATTTCATCCACAAAAATCCCAACTAATTCCGGGAAGCAATGAAATCCCGTCCTATAAAATGATCTCCCTTTCAATCATTCAAATCATTCCTCTCAATTTCACTTCAATTTTTGTTGTCACCAACAACTGGTATCATAGCGATCTTGCAGCAGCAAGAATGACAGTAGAAAAATAAGTTGAGAGCTACGTTCAGCCCGCCATCCCGAAGTTCGATGGTCACTGTGATCATTGGGCGATGTTGATGGAAAATTTTCTCAGATCAAAGGAGTTTTTTGATATGGTGGAGAGGGGTTATGAAGAGCCAAATGAAGGCGAGGTACTCTCAGCTAGTCAACAGCAATTGTTGGCAGCATCAGAGTTGAAGAACCTGAAGGTCAAGAACTATTTATTTCAGTTCATTGATAAGACTACCTTGAAAACAATGCTTCAGAAGAAGACATCCAAGGATATTTGGGATTCTATGAGGAGGAAGTATCAAGGCTCAACGAGAGTAAAGCGTGCTCAACTTCAAGCAGTTAGAAGAGACTTTGAAATTCTCCAAATGCAAAAGGGAGAAACGGTGATTCAATCATGGATGTTGCGGTCGTAGAAAAGATTTTGCGATCATTAACTCCAAAGTTCGATTACATTGTATGTTCTATCGAAGAAGCAAACAATGTCGAAGAGATGCAAATAAATGAACTTCAAAGCTCCCTGTTAGTACATGAACAGAGACTCAATCGTACAAGTGCAATAGAGGAGATGACAGCCTTAAAGATATCCACATCAGGTGAAACTTCAAGCCCTAGAGGTAGAGGGCAAAGAAGAGGCAGAGGTCGTGGGAGAGGCAGTCAAGAAAGAAGTGGAGATGTTGGCAGGTCAGCAGATCTAGTCAGAAACGATTATGACAACAAAGGCAAGAGACACTTTGACAAGTCTAAGGTGGAATGCTACAGATGTGAACGCCTTGGGCATTACAAAAATGAATGCTATACCAGGCTCCAAAAGGAGAAAAGAGATCAATCCAATTTTGTGGAGAGAAGAGAAGAAGAAACATTGTTAATGTCATTCCATGCTATGAAGGTTGCAAATCAAGGTGTATGGGTCGTAGACTCTGGATGCAGCAACCATATGACAGGTTGTAAGGAATTCTTCTCAACTTTGGATGAAAATTTTCATACTACGGTTTCTCTTGGCAAGAATTCAACTATCCAAGTGATGGGGAAAGGAATCGTAGATATCAAGACTAGAAATGGCTTTGTAGAGTCTATTTCTAATGTATTCTACATTCCTGATTTGAAGGCCAACTTACTTAGTATCTGTCAGTTACAAGAAAAGGGGTATGTGATCACATTCCAAAATGATGAATGTGAGATTTATGACTCCAAAAGAGGATCACTTGCTAGATGAAGATGACCACCAACCGTCTATATCCGTTGATGTTAAATATCGTTGCCAAAAGTTTAATGGTGAAGAAAGAAGATACCACCTGGCTTTGGCATTTTAGGTATGGTCATCTACACTTCAAAGGATTAAAGACGTTGTCTTCAAAGAAGATGGTAACTGGGTTGCCAGATATTACTCCAACAGAAATTTGCGAGAGCTGTGTAGTAGCAAAACATGAAAGAAATTCTTTTCCATCCGGAAAATCAAGAAGAGCTCAAACAATTTTGGAGTTGATTCATTCAGATATATGTGGTCCTAGCTCTCCAGCATCAAATGGTAACAAGAAATATTTCATGACCCTCATCGATGATTTTAGTCGAAAAACATGGACTTATTTCTTGCACGCCAAATCATAAGCCTTTGATTGCTTCAAAAAATTTGTGCTACTATAAAGACGGAAACTGGAAGAAGAGTCAAGGCTTTAAGAACTGACAGAGGTGGAGAGTTCTGCTCGAACGAGTTTATTAAATTTTGTGAAGAGAAGGGCATAAGGAGGCAGTTAACAACCACATATACACCACAACAAAATGGTGTGGCCGAAAGGAAAAACAGGACCATTCTCAACATGGTTCGAAGTTTACTAAATAAAGGAGAAGTCCCAAGAAATTCTGGTCAGAAGTTGTCGTGTGGTCCGTTCACATTCTCAACCGGAGCCCTACTTTTTCCTGTTAGAGATATGACTCCACAAGAAGCATGGAGCGAAAGAAAACTTGCAGTAGACCACTTTAGAATCTTTGGGTGCATAGCATATGCACACATTCCTGATGAGAAAAGGAAGAAACTTGAGGACAAGAGTTTGAAGTGTGTGTTCCTTGGAGTAAGCGAGACCTCTAAGGCGTACAAGCTCTATGATCCTTTGACAAAGAAGGTGGTGGTAAGTCGTGATGTAGTCTTTGACGAAAAGAAGACTTGGACATGGGAAGAAAAGATCACTATGAATCAGCAGATTCCTGTAGATCTTGAAGAAGAACAAACTGAAGCCCCTATTCAGCCTCACTATGAGCTGGAGAGAGCTCATCACAAGCTCAACAAGAAGAACCAATAGAAGATCATGATCATAATCAAAGAAATCCAAGAACAAGAAAGAGACCAAATTGGATGATTGATTATGAGATGGACTATGAATCAAGTGATAGTGGTTATTTTGCATTCTTTATGGATAGTGATCCAATTGTCTATGAAGAAGCGGTAAAGGAGAAGAAATGGAAGGAAGCTATGAACAGTGAAATCAAATCCATAGAGAAGAACAAGACTTGGGAGCTCACTGATCTTCATAGAGGGCAGAAAACAATCAGAGTAAAATGGGTTTTCAAAACCAAGTTGAATGAAAACGGTGAGGTGGATAAGTACAAGGCGCGACTCGTTGCAAAAGAATACAAGCAGAAGTATGAAATTGATTATAAGGAGGTATTTGCACCAGTGGCACGTCAAGATACTATCAGGCTCATAATTTCTATTCCAGCACAGAAATCTTAGCCTATTTATCAACTTGATGTGAAATCGGCCTTCTTACATGGAGAGCTTTAATAAAAGGTATATGTGGAGCAACCAGAAGGTTTTGTTCAAAAGGGTAAAGAGGAAAAAGTATACAAGTTGAAGAAAGCTTTGTACGATTTGAAGCAAGCTCCGAAGGCATGGTACAGTCGCATTGATTCTCATTTTGAAAAGATGAGATTCACTAAATGCCCGTATGAACATACGTTATATGTGAAAACTGAAAAGGGAGGTAACATTATCATTATTTGCTTATATGTTGATGATTTAATATTTACTGGCAATAATGAAGAAATGTTTGAATTTTTTAAGAAGAGCATGATGAAGAAATTTGAAATGACAGATCTTGGTTTGATGAGATATTTTCTTGGAGTAGAAGTTACTCAAACTCCAGCAGGTAACTTTATCTGTCAGAAGAAATATGCTCAAGAATTACTTGAAAGATTTAAATTGGATGAGCACACATTTGGAACTCCATAAGAATTGGGTTTGAAGTTGCACAAGGATAATAAAGGGCGAGAGGTTGATAATAGGTACTTCAAACAAATTGTGGGAAATTTGATGTACCTAACTTCAACAAGACCAGACATCATGTATGCGGTTAGTATGATAATTCGTTACATGGAGCATCCAATGGAAAAACATCTCAATGCAGCAAGAAGGATACTTCGTTATGTGAGAGGAACTTTTGATTTGGGGGTATTCTACAAGAAAGGAGATGAACCGAAGATGGTTGGCTATACAGATAGCGACTATGCAGGTGATATAGATGATCGTAAAAGCACTTCCGGAAGTATTTTCATGATGAGTTCAAGAGATATTTGCTGGTCTTTAAAGAAGCAATCTATTGTAACACTCTCAACTATAGAAGCAGAATTTGTGGCAGCAGCAGCATGCTCGTGCCAAGCAATTTGGTTAAGAAGAATGCTTGAAATTCTTAATCGGAAGCAACCAGGTATGACGGTTATATATTGTGATAATATGTCAACTATTAAGTTGTCTAAAAATCCTGTGTTGCATGGAAGGAGTAAGCACATCGATGTTCAATTTTTGTGTAAAGAAGACATTATTGAACTCAACTTTTGCCAAAGTGATGAACAAATCGCAAACCTATTCACAAAGCCCTTGAAACAACCATGGTTCAAGAAGCTTAGAAGAAAGATGGGGATGTGCAGAATCCAAGATGTATATCAAGAAGATGAAGTGAAGTCGTAAACTGATTTTTGCAGAATTCAGTTTAAGGGAGGGTGTTGAAGCTAATAATAGAAAAAGTAGTAATTTGAATTTAGTTACTACGGAGAAGGAGGAGGTGGAAGCAATTTCATCCACAAAAATCCCAACCAACTCCGGGAAGCAATGAAATCCCGTCCTATAAAATGACCTCCCTTTCAATCATTCAAATCACTCCTCTCAATTTCACTTCAATTTTTGTTGTCACCAACAATGCAATGATAGACTCAGATCATAATAAAAGAACACGTCAAATAATTAAAATTAGAATTTAAAGGATTTTTTAGTGTTCGAAGAACATTGATGTTCTACAACTGACATAACATAAATCCAGAAAGAAATAGAGAAAGAAAGAAAAAAAAAGAATATATCAAATGCAATTCTTACCTGGTGGATGAGAACTGTGGAAGGTGTCATTCCCGGGACAGTATTAACTTCAATGACTAAGACCTAAGAACAGAACAACCTCAAGTGATGTCAACAAATATGACACTTGAAAACATCATCAATTCCAGGTTAGAATTCAAGTACCATGCATAAACCCCAAAAAAGACTTCAGTTTCAGAGAAACAACAAAAACGTTTGATTAAGAGAAACAACAAAAATACTTGGACAAGCACCCCTGACCGTTTGTTCCAAACTAAGTGCATAGCTTGCTTTTATGAGGAAAATGTGCACGATATTTTATTAGCGAGAAATGCAAAGTATTCCTTTTGGTAACGCGTTATATATTAAATATTAAATGCTTCAATGATGTCTTGTTCAAAATTTTGGTAAGCCAGAAAATGGAAAGGCATTTAAGGAGAAATAATTAAATTAATTACCTCTCCACTGTCAACATTTACGAATGCATCTATTCGGGAAAATCCTTCCAGCTGTAGTGCGTTTGCAATCAGTTCAATATGTTGTTTACACTTCTCCAGCGACTCATTACTTAGGCAGAAAGGAAAATCCTCATAAATACATAATGTTAGGATAAATTTTACGCTTTCGAAGTTCAAAAACTAAAACAAGAACATGTTAAAGAATGAAGTATCACCACAAACCTAATAATCGATAAAGGTGGTGGAGTTAAATTGATGCCAGTCCCACCTGTCAATTAGAAATACGTCAATGGACACTTCAAGAAACCACAGTTACGAAATCAAGTATCCATAACGCTCTATCACATGCTGAAAGTACATAGCGTCGTGTTTAACTACTAGGCATTTATGAAAATAAGCAATTTTTTCTAGTTCTGATAAATATTTGCTCGACACCCACCATAGACAGGGGCCAGGCAATAGCGCACTCCCTAGATTTTGTATAAACCCAATTGAATATAACTACAAATAAATATTAGCATTCCATCTTGGTTTGGAAGAAAAAGATAGATCACCTTGGAATTTCTCCTCAAGAGATAAGATATCCCCACTTTCCTTGACAGTGACGCTAGGACTCAATGAGTGCATTGATCCACGTGTTCCCACAACACCTACGGTTATTTCCACCCATCTACTCTGTCCTTTCCACAAAAGTCGTTCAGACTCATTGGTATATTTGGACGAAACAATTATCTCATCGGTCTCGATAAAAGGTTCAAAAATCAAGAGCTCTGGAGGTGGTTTTGGCATTTCAATCATACCGTGTGCCTATAATTAAAAAATGATAATATTACTGACTTTAACATCAAGTATGAAAACAACAATATAACCGAAAACGAACTTGATTTCAAGCAATTTAGCCCAAAACCATTAGAAAAATAAGTAATCACGAGGAACAACAAAGATGCATATTTATCAGCGATTGATTGTCCACATTTTGTATTACTACCCAAAGGCACAGACTGCATTTCAACGTCGGGTGTCTATTATTTCTGTAAGATACTCTACAGCACGCATACAGGTTCGTCCTTATGGATTCGGATAGCATCGCATGAAGAAAAATTCCTAGAGATGCACATAAGTATTTCTACCCTTGATAAACTATTAGAAGGAATTCTGACGAGGCAGTACTCCAATGCTTTCGCATACACCGCAAGGTCATCAGCGCAGCTGCATGAAGAAATAATTCAAATGAAAGTAAATATATAAATGTCTTTTTTACTATAATTTTGATATGCATAATAACGAGATGCTTTTTTATATTCCAAATGCTCAATCAAATTTTTAGAGAAGGCGAACAGCAAACGACGTGTTATATATTTTACCATAGTCTTGCAACCCCGGTTGAGCAACCATCTCTAGCTGGTTTAACACATAACGACTGACACTGAAGCTTGCAGGTTAAGTCATGCCATAAATTTAATGTAGGGATATTCAAGAGCTCATCTTTCCTCCTCGCATCCTTTTTAATGGTAAGTACCCCCATGTCTGAAAGCTATTCATAAAGATAATTTGTGAAACAGGATATATGCTGGTGTTATAGATTATACAAATCTGATCTCATCTAACAGTCAGTTGGATAACGTACATGGTTTAGGGCCAACGAAGTTGCTACTTTGTCCATGCATATGTTAGAGGCTGCCACTCCGGGACCTTCAATTGAGAAAATGAAATGCAAAGTGAGCAAGAGAAAGCACAACTATTGGTAGCCCTCTTTGACCAATAAGGTTTTTGGCAAACCTGTATAAGGAACTCCTTTGGCCTCTAACAATGATTGAAGCATGCCATTTTCGCCGATGCCTCCATGCACTAAAATGTATACAAGATAAAAGTCAAAACACAGTAAATTTTTATGCTATGATTTTCTAACTTCGCTGCACTGTTCTTCAAATTCCAAGGATCTATCCTGCGAGGGACTGATATTAGTAAGTTTTCTAATGCCGTTATAATTGCCCTCATATAAAGGAGAAGAGGAGCGCATGCCAAGGATTGGCACCTGGCAGTAGAAACAGCATATACGAAGGGGAATAGAAGAAAGAACAAGCAGTACAAAGGTGCTCAGTATGAGCACCTGGCGGTTAGAAACAACACCTGCTATAAACACTGTCGCATCAACTTCCTTCGCTTTCTTGATCCACTGCTCCAAGGAAAATTTCACAGGTAATTCATCTTTGATATCAAATCCTGCAAACCAACTATGCTTCTTCAGACCTTCTTCAAGATCAGTCACCACTAGCTCACGCAGATGAGATGTTAATGCTGCACGAGTTGGTTCAAATGCCTCAATGCATGCAGCAAGAACTTCCTCTGTGGTGTGTCTCAGCACAAGTGAGTAACTGCTTCGAAAAAAGAATCATGTTAACGAAAAATATAAAAGGGCTAGCCGCATAAATAAGCGTTGGTGAACCTTTTTGTCCAGAACATATTCTAAACATTGTTGTCTTGTGGACTTAACCTCAATTTAAATGATGGGGGATGATACATGCCAAAAATGGAAAGAAATGTTAAATATTTAAGAGATCTCTTTATTTACGGCATGATAAGATATCTGGATGCCAACAACGTTTAAAAGTTTCATACCTTGCATTTAGATAAGTATGTTGACGAATTGACGTTCAAAAGACTAATTATAGAAGTACCAAATAAATGGTCAAACGTAATCTCAAATATTTTAAGCTATGGTTCTTTAAAATGGTCGTCATAGACATGGTGTCATTGTCACTTAGTATTATTTTTCCTGAAAAATAGTTGGCACTAAACATATCCCTGAGAAATAGTTATAAGTTCCAGAGATAAAGAATTTTAAGAGGGATAAAGATACATAAATTCACAATAGTCAGAACTTACGGCAATGACCAAACTGTTTTGGAAGTCATGTCAGCTTCATTTTTGTCCAAATCCACACTAGATGTTTGCTCGATAGACGGGGCAAGTAAACATGGAGTTACTTCAAGCTGTAGCGATAAAAATCATACTCAAATTAAAATAGGAAAAACAAGCACACAGAAAGAAATAGTCCGTTAATGAAGGAAAACAAAACAAATCTGTGGCATTGGAGGTTTTGTATCCATCTATCACAACTTCAGGCAGAAATCAGCATAACTCTTGATGCACATTAAGCAACGGGAAGTTCTCAAACTGAGTTTTTTTGTAGGATTTTTCTCTCAGGTTGATACAGAATATTTAATTATCAATAGAGTGCTTTTTGTAATTTCACATCATCCATGAAATGAAGGAATTTCATGTCTTAAAAAAATCATCAATTGTCCCATCAGTGCAAAGTTTTATACTCAAACTCGGTGTTCAGCTTCAAAACAACGGGAGAAATACAAAGGATATAATATTCAAAACTAATTAAATCGCATCTTGATTATGAGCACTTGCACTTTCAACCTTTCAACTGTTAGGTATTTGAACGTTTAATATCCAAGATCAAGGCAGAATTGAGGTAACTTACATCATCAAATGCTTGCAGATTAAGCCAAACATTTGTTCCACTCATAAGAGATACTTGACGTTCTGATGTGTCTCCTCCAAAAATAAGAAAAACTTTTTGGTTGCTTTCTGTGCTAGAATATGCTTGACTACGTTGAGAGGAGATTGATCTTCTAGGCATATTTCCGGACATACAGTCCAATGATCCTAGACTGGGATACCGCAAGCAAGCATGGTAAATAATGCTCCTAAGTATGTTTGAGTGAGAAAAACCAACCTGGAAATGAGTATATCAGACTTAATGATGTGACGTATGTAGCCTTGAGATCAAACACATGATAAATTGGAAAACAGTAGCAAGGAAGATGAGAATAACTAGAGGTTCTGGCATAACCCGTTAAATACTAATGTATATTATGTGATCTAACCAAAAGAATAATGTGATTTCTCTTTAAAGAGGCTAAATTTTTTGACGTCCTTGCAGAAAGCCCTACAGGCAGTACACAAGCAAATTCCATTAACCTCCAGCCGAGATCCATTGGACAAAAGAACATTATAATGCCAACATATTCGAAGTACCTTTGAGGCTTGCTGAAACAAAAAACTGGTTTGTTCCATCCCACTTATCTGTGTATATAAATAAGATTAATAAGGAATTGTTGAAAGAAGTATGCTACTAGTAAAATTGTAATTATCAGCTAAACAAAGCATCATTACCAAATTTATGTCTGTATACACTACTGTGCCTGATGCAGTCCTTCCAAACTTCCCTGTGGAGGATGAAGAATCATGAGAGGAATTAGGCAAAAACCACCCATCAATTCGGGCAAAATCACAGAGACCAAGTCCTTTGAAGAGTAAAGATGCTCCTTCACGGATGCTTTCTATCACATCAATAGGAAAACGAGGAGGAGTATGATATGCAACCTGTTTCATAAATGCAGACTCGTTGATTAGAAAAATGAATATAGTTACTAGAAAGAGTTTAGATATAATTCAAGCTAGTGAGTTCAAGAATAGACATAGCAGGCATGCAAGTATAAGTGGCACGACACCATCACTGAACCTGCTGGGTGGGGAGATATTTCCTCCGGTAATTGAAAATTGCATCCTTTTCTCCGGCATCAGCCCAACCATGGGATTGAAGCTCAACCTAATTTAAGGAATAGAAGAAGAGAAGGATTCTAAGATGCATTATATGTAGTTAGGAAAAAAAACAAATCAAGTAAGTTATGTTGAGATAAAAAAAAAATACATACTTCTGTTGGTAGTAGTACAACAGGATGACAAACAGAACCAGATCCCACATCAAGGACAATTGCAGTGAACTCACTGCCTCGTTCAAGAAATACTTCAACAAGGACTTTATCGTCAATTTCCTATATAAGATAAATGGTGCACACTTTATGAAATTGAAATATGAATGATTGATTTACATTTTTATCGAATCACATTATCAGCTTGAATGAGATTTAGTATTACTAAGCGATTGAGAAAAATATGAAGTTCAAGGCAAGATTGTAGAGAATAAATGATTTCATGCCCTGCATCAGCACAAGGTATTGGCAAATGTCATAGCACCTTTGAAATAATCTCATTAGCTTTCTTAAGTGAATCCACCACTCCATATGCAACCGACACACCAATGCTTGATCCTGCTCTTGCTGGTTTTACCTGATTGACACCAGAAAAAAAAAATTCTATTGTAAAAATTTTACAATCCAACCATAAACAGATTCCACAATAAGTGAACATTTTACTTACAACAACTTTTCCTGAGCTAAGATCTAGCTGATTTCTCAAAAACCACTTTGATAGGTCAGATTCACTTACACTACCAGCCTGAACATCATTCCATGAATCAGAATATTACACTAATAAAGGATAGAGGCGTAAGGTCTAAAGTCAAACCGAAATAAACTAGATCCTAACAATCTTATTTTTTACACGTGCACACACACACAAAGAACCTTAATTGAAGAGCATTCAAGTAGGCGGATACTAAAACTATGAAGAAAAATAAGGTTTGTTGAAAACTACCTGTACCAGAAAATTAGGCACTGTTATGAATCCAAGTCTATCGAGCTCCAAGGAGGCGTTATACTATCAGTTACCAAGGGAAACAACAGGTGAGCAATGCTAAAAGAAAAATGGTTGATTATGACAAAGTATGCAGAACATGTTATAGGTATCCAGACACAAAATGTAAGCAAACACCAAAGATAACTATATTACAATTCAATGAAGAAATTACAATATAAACAAGTAATTTGCGGTACTTGCACCTTCCCTCTTGCGATCTCTCCCAGGCCCTAATTCACTCCTCAAATGTCTAACTCCCTCTATTGATAACTAAACTCCATAACCACCTACCTAACTAATCACTACTATACCCTCATAAAATCCCAAATCGCATTCCTATCAGAAAATATCCCAAATGTCTCCTATACAAAACCTCCTCAGGACACCATCTAACTTTAGTTTACTGAACTCAACCATTTTACAGCATGCTCCTTGGCCCTCATACCCATACAATCAGGAGACAGTTTTTACAGTGTATGCATAAAACACTATCCTACTACAACTAACTACACTATCCTACTACAACTAACTAGATCCAGGTAATATCTAAGTACTCAACTCCAAGGCTATGCAATTGTTTTTTTTTTTTTTCTATATATTTCCATGCTTTCTTTGATACTTACTGTATCCACTTCTCTGAATGTTACGTAAAAATTAGTTGTGATGCAAAATTTTGAATTGGTTGTCTGTTTTCTCGCTGGAGTCAAAACTTTGTTTTGGTTCACCGAGAATTCAATTCCACAGCTCAATTATAAAATGTCATATCCAACGTAATACAGAAGCCATGTATGTCTTGAAAATTTTATACACTAGACCATCATACCTTGTCAAAGGCATGTGCACACTCCGTTGAACCTGTTCCAACAAATGGAATGTTATGCGTTTCCAGTAGTTCCTGAAACACATCAACGGACATTTATAATTTATTTATTTATTTATAACGTACATGAAGAACAAAGTAAATTAAATCCACATTGTGAAAACTGAAGTTACACCTGGATCCCACCATCTTCACCAAACCGACCATGTATAACAGGGAATACTATGTCCACGGAAGTAGAAAGGTGCTCAGCAAAGTCAGTCAAAGACCGGAAACCGCGGGCAAGGCTTCACAAACGAACAGTTTAACGTCTTAAAGTCCCCGCAAGCAAAGACTCAATATCAATTAAAGATAGTCTGAACTTACCTTTTAAGTTTAAAATCAAAATCTGCTGGAGTGTTTGAATAAACCTATGAATGAGAAATAGCACGTAAAATGTGACGTAGAAAATCAGAATACAGGATGCAAATGTTGAAAGATACCGAAGATCCTTCAGATTTTGTTCCCATTTTTTAACAGAGTAAGAAACTCAGGAGCATGAAAAGTACGACATCAAACGAAGCAGGGATCAAAGATCAAGGCTGCAGGTTACTCGTACCTGAGCAGAAGATATTGCGTACGCATTCAACTCCGGATCGATGTAGTAACAGCTCACTTGCAAATCATCTCCCTAGTGTAGACAAAGTCGATGCATCAAATTAAGCTAATTAATGGCTACTGCAAATCATACACTCAGATAGTTTTTCTCGATAATAACGATTTTAAACCAATCTCCTTAATAGAATTAAAATTATATCTCAACCATGCAAAACTTATCGCATCTGATCACTTGTTTGTCAAAATTAAAAATGAGCACCTCTTTTTGTTGACTTATATTAGCTAGCTAAGTCTGTTTTCACCATAATATTAATAAAGAAAAATCGTTGCGAACTATTTTTAGTCTCTGCTACGAGCTAATCTATTATCGATCACATATTAATCCTAGTGCAGAGAAGTCCTTAGCTATTGCGTATGTTCCCCTGCGTACCTGTATGTGATCAAGAACTGATCTAGCAGAATTGAGAGAAATTCCACGTTCCGCAGACGGACCTCCACAGATAAGTCCAACTCTCAACGCTTCACATTTCACACTATGTTTCTCCCTTTCAATCTCTGTAGCCGCCATTTCAGCTACACCGTCCTTAACCACCATCTTGGCAGCAGCACGAGAGACTCGGATTTTGGGAGACTGAAGCCGCCGAGCATGATTATGTAAATCCAGAGACAATCGGAGGAAGCTGGAGGAGAGTGTTGGAGTGAAGTTTGAAGCTCTCGGTTCAATGTCTTTGCATAGTACTTTGCATGTAGAACAATTTGCTTTATGTGCCATAGAAGGAGGAGGAGGGGGAGGAGACGGTAGCCGCACGCTTCAGCTACTCTAAAGAGTGATATATAGTTAATGATGTTGGAGGATGATGGGCTTATAAGTGAGGAATACTAACTCCATTAGTATGAGGTTTTGCTTTGGGCTAATGTTGGAGGATGATGGGCTTATAAGTGAGGAATACTAACTCCATTAGTATGAGGCTTTTTGGAAAAGCCCAAAGCAAAGCCATGAGAGCTTATGCTCAAAGTGGACAATATCATAACATTGTGGAGAGTCGTGTTCGTCTAACATGGTATCAGAGCCATGCCCTAAACTTAGCCGTGCCAATAGATTCGAATGTCAAACAAAGGACTCCAAAAAGAAAAAAGGAGTCAAGCCTCTTCGAAGGTACGAAGGCAGTCAAAAATGACTAAGAGAGTCGAGGGGAGGTGTTGGATGATGAAAGTCCCACCTCGGCTAATTTAGGGAATGATCATGGGCTTATAAGTGAGGAATACTAACTTCATTGGGATGAGGCCCCCTTTGGGGAGCCCAAAGCAAAGCCATGAGAGGTTATGCTCAAAGTGGACAATATCATACCATTATAAAAAGTCGTGTTCGTCTAACAAATAATTCAATCTAAAAGAAGGAAGGGAGTGGAATAAAATAAGCGACGGAGATAAAGCAAGTGTTCTATCATTTGTCTTCGTCCTGTAGATAACGGTTCAAGTTTGGGGGGGACGGCGGACGGCAGATCACAACGAATCAAACAAATGAAGAGAGGAAAAAGAAGGCGCGTATATATTCCATAAATTAATCAAACTGGCAACTTATTCTTTTTAACTGACCACGTGTTTTTTTAAAACTCCTTTTGAAAATGTATAAATACTTTTAAAAAATATAAGAATAATAATAATAATGGCGTGGACAAAATTGGTCCGTCCCACCAGACCCCCAAATGCACTTATTTGGTGTCGTTTTTAAGTTCACCATTTTGATTCAATAATTGCTCTCTGTGTGACCTCATGAACTGCCTGCTTTTTTTTCTCTAATTTATTATTTGATTGAGAAATGCCCCCACACATATTCGTCAGCCTTATTAGTGATACAACGTTAACAAAAAAAAAAAAAAAAAAAAAAAAAAAAAAAAAAAAAAAAAA